GGACATGTATCTTTCGATACATTACTGACGAGGCAGATTTTTTTCCCGCAGTAGGTGACCATTTCTTTCTGCGGTAGACCAGTTGCCATCTAAGGCCCGGTCTGTCCTGCTATTTACCCATAGCTGGGGAGAGAAGAAGAGCATTCATAATTTCCCAAGTGTATTAGCACGTAAGTGAATGTAATGGATTCGACTGGAATTCGAACACAGCTCTCCGACATTTCAATCCGAGCCGCTATCCACTACTCCACAGTTCCTGCTGACATTCCTAGTCTTAGCCAATCAATAATGGTTCGAATAGCAGAAACACTTAAACATTTCATGTAGATATAATATAGGAAGATTTTTTTTGAAATAAAAATACTTATATTTACAACAGAAACCGATATCCGTTGGTATATTATAAGCAAAAGTGACAGTCGCTTAAATGCGAATATTAACTTCATATTCACCAAAGAGAAAAAAAACCCCTCTACAACGATAAGCTATAATGAAATGGAAAATATTCGCAATAAGAATTATCAAAGAAAAATATTGACGATTACTCAAATCAATTTATAATACATCATAAAAAGAACGCTGAAAACAAACACACCATTAGACCAAAATGTACCAACAATTTTCTTTGTTAAAATTATTATGCCATTATATTGCCAAAGATCATGTTATTGATAATATTTTTGTCGGGCTGGAGTAGTGTTCTTTTAAGTACACGCAAAGATTTTTCGAAAAAAAATCTCAAATTTTGTTTCCGTTCTGTCTTTTCCTTTCTGTTTTATCTCCTCTTTCTTCATTTCGACGTTTTATGCAAATTCATACAATGTTCCAAACAAATACAAAATAATTCATCGTTGATAGGATTTGAATTTGTCAATTAGAACACATTAGAAACGGGTTTCTTATAGAAAAAAAAAGCAATGATAACTAATGGAGGGAATATTTTTTTAAGTTGATAGGAAGTTTTAGAAAATACACTTAAGAATCAAATATTTTTGTACATTCAGGGAGTAGGGCATTGCCTTGAACGATGTCTACTTTCTGTCTTTAGTGAAATCGATTCGTACAGCGCATCAGTACAATATCGTTATGAGGAACATAAATTGACGACGCGAAAGGGAAAACCCACTGCTTTCGGTGGACATTAGTTGTTTTATTTTCAGACAAGCTCCCAGGAAAAAAAAATAGTAAAACACCGACATAAAAAAAAAATGTCTACAAATTTTACGTTTGGTTGTGAGGGAAACATTCAAAGGTAGGCTTTGGTATCAGAATTGTAGGATGGTGGTCATTAATGTTTTAATGGTCGGAGCCTAACTGATAAGCATTTTTGTTTTTGTTTAGTCAGCTTTCTGATTTTTCTAAACATTTTGTTTTTAAGGAACCCACATTTAATACCGAACTTTTACTATTATAATGAATACAGTATTGTACATGGACATTAATGAGTTAATGTATTTTGCGCTGAAGAATTGATTTTATATTTACAAATCTATCATTTGTTCGTGTATTGAATACTGTTGCCATATCAAGTCTAGGGCTTCTGCTTTACATCTTGAGATTCTTGACAAAATACAAAGAAGCATCTGTAAAATCATTGATCCTAACTTGGCATCTCGATTTCAGTCACTTTCTGATCGACGTAACGTGGCTTTCTTTTGTCTTTTCTACAAATATTTTCTCGGCAACTGTTCTGACGAGCTTTTATTTTCAAAGTGCCCCGACTACATAATTTAAGCGCGCTACTAGATTGGCAACTAGGTCTCACCATTTTACTGTTGGAATAGCTAAATTCAACTACAACTTTTACCCCAACAGTTTCTTTTTCGCGCTTCCCTCCTGTGGAAATCACTTCTGTTTACTTGCTTCCCTGACAACCACAATCTTGAAAAATGTTAATGCAACGTCAATCGCTTTCTTCTGTATTCTCGAATTCCTTTCATCTTTTGTCCTTTCCTCAATCTTCCTTATTCTCAGTATTCTCTTTAACTTTCACTCCCTGTAACCCCATGTGTACTGGTGGGATACCTGCCCTGCTTTGGTTGAAATGGTATGAAAAAGTTAAATCAAGAAAGTGTCATTTAGTTGTTCTCTTCGTATATAAGCGAAAATAAAACAGTTACACACACACACAGATATATATATATATATATATATATATATATATATATATATATATATATATATATATATATGTCAAAGTGTAGGCGAACGAACAGTAGGATTACAGCGTCCAAAACATTAATTTAAAAATAGTGCTCAATACATAAAGTAGAGCCGTAAATATTTATTTATTTTATTTTATGCAGTGTAACACTGCATTTTATATATATATATATATATATATATATATATATATATATGCACAGTTCATTGAATACGACAGACCATGTGCTTTTATTTAGTTTTTTATACAATTTTTCATGCGATCTAATAATTTTTTTTTTCTTTTCGGATGATAAATTATATAAAAATCTGTCCGAATGACCTTTTTATCCGAGCTCTTTCGGCTATACATTTAGCCATTTCCAAGGATTAAATATTTTAACTGTTAAATAAGAAATAGTTTGTTGTATGTTTTATAAAAAGATTTCATTTTTCAAAACACGGTCAAGATAAAAAAAGAACTGTATTTCATAAAATCATCCACATACGTGTTAAAAACTGCTTTTCTCCTATGTTTTAAACTAAAAGTAATATTTGTTTCAATTCAGATTAACATAAATAAGTTTTATTTCCAAAATCAAAATGTAGTAGAAAATATAAATCCTGACTAATGACTAAACAACTCCTGGTGTCTATCAATTTGTCAAGTTACGTCAAACTCGGCCTTGTGCCACATGCAACCCTGGGGGGGGGGCTAGATACCGAATCAATTTGTCAAGTTGTACCTCCAAGCCTTGGTTCTGCATCAACCGTTACTCTCTTTTCCAGGCCCATTTTTAACATTTCTTGACTTCACGTTTAGAAACACTGATTTAAAACATTGCTAAGCATTTTGTTTTTTTTTTAGGTGGCTGAACAATATTTTTCTTTGATTGATGGCCAGTTTAGAATATTTATAAGTCAAGATTCTTAAAATACTGATTAGCAAATTTTATGCGTCGTGTCACTTCTGGAGTTTGACAATAATAACTCTTCGACAACATTCTATCTTTTGTAGATCTAGGTAATATTTGTTTACTTTCTCTCCCTCTCAATCACTGTTTTGTCGTCCATAAAACAGTTATACACACACACACATATATATATACATACATATATATATATATGTGTATGAATAAACCAAGTAAGAGGTGAAGGGAAATATAAATACAAACCCTAGGTACACGAAGCTTGCAAAAAATAAAGTAAAAATGTTGTGTGGTAATAACAAGCTTGTTAGGTAAGTTACTCGATATTTTTTTCTACCTTATTTCCTTCATTATGTTCTATCAGTGTCCACACCATGTATCCTGACAATTTTAACTTTTTCTGAGTCTAAGTGTGTTTTTTAAATTCTATTTTGCTTAAACTTTCCCCCTGTTCACATGTTCTGACCATGATATTCTCAGCATCCTTCCATGGAACCTCAAATTTCCTCTTCCGTGAGAAATTCTATTTATTTGGAGCTCAGAGCATCTTCAGTAGAACTATCCTCCTTCGAGAGTACTGTATTAAACAAACGTATTTTGCATGCAATTTTTATAAATAAAATTATTATGAAAACATCATCGATCCTCTAAGGAAACCATTTTCTAAAACAAATTTGCTTTCAATCATTTTTGCGAAGCTAAAAGTTTTTTTTTTTAAATTATTAACTTAAAAACTGTGACATTTGTTTTTCAAATATTGTTTAAAACATTACCAACTAAAATAGGTCTTCATTGACGGTCAGTTTACAGCATTTACATCGCGGATTTTTCAAAATACTTCGCTAAAGAGCGTAAAGAAGAAAGTTTTTCTTTAAAATCAATAAATTTGTCGTAAGTGTTTATAAAATATCGCCTGACCTTTCAGTTCCTGGTAATTTCCTTTGACAATGGATGCACAGCTGCAAGTACCAAGTTACGAAGGAGAAAGGAAAGTGATTTTAAATCAAGGAGATGCGCTTTTATTTGTACATGTGAAATATTCAGTTCTTAAGCCTACAGACCAAATATATATTGAAGTGCAGAATATAAACTAAACAAAACATGCTATCGCCATTACTGATCTCATAAATTTGCAAGGTACAAACCAATGGCAATCTTTCTGAAACGTGGGCACGCGAAAATGATTCAACGGCAATTTGCGTCTTTTACAAACCTTAGGACAGAAGAAGACAATTGGATTTACAACGTTTTGAAATGAGATTTTCAGCCTGCACTATAAGCAGCTATTGTTTTACGAAGCGTCTTTTCTTTTCCAAGAGGTAAGAAAATAAAATACTAACGTTTCTCAATTTTCTGTCGCTGTGTCGTAATAACTCATCTTCGTATAACGGTTGCGAAGACTGTCAGGAAACCTACTTTGCGTGTTTGGTTCTAATTTCTTTTCCTTTATCATTCCCTATTGCAATACGTATACAGTGATTATTCTACACTATTTTGAACTGCTGGAAATGTTTTTATTCAATTTTAACAAATACATCGAAGAAGATTTGCAATACAAAAAAAAAAAAAAAAAAGAAAAAAACTCAAACAAAGATTAATACATCTTAAAGTGAATTATCATTTCTTCTTTTACGGGCTATATTCTTTGAGGCGATTATAGCTCTCCACAACATCTTTTTTATTGCTTTAAATAACTGCTGACCATTTCACATCTATGTTTCTATTCGGCCATCCGTCCACAAAATTATATTTAACAAGTGAAAGAAGCTGTAGATAATGAGAGGTCCCACCGAACGCCCCAACGGGGAGCCTGGAGCTTATAAGGAAAGCACGCTTAACTTGCGGAAGAAAAGAACATTATTTTAAATACGGCTATTTGCATGGAATTCAACAGTGATTAGAAGCACATGATGTAGATACACAGCTACCTTAGCCATCAAGCAGGTCAAGGATAAATACTGAGAGAAAAAAAGAAAGCGAAAATAAAAGAAAGAGAAAAGAGAGAGAGAGAGAGAGAGAGAGTAAAGAGAGAAAAAAACAAAGAGAGTAACAAGAGAAAAAAAAAGAAAGCCGAGAGAGATGGAAGAAAAGAAAGCCGAGAGAGAGAGAGAGGGAAGAAAGAGAAAAAAAGAAAGAAAGAGAAAAAAACCGAAAGAAGAAAGAAAAAAAGAAAGAAGAGAAAAACACGAAAGAAGAAAAACGAAACGAAAGAACAAAGAGAAAAGAAACGAAAGAACAAAGAGAAAAGAAACGAAAGAACAAAGAGAAAAGAAACGAAAGAACAAAGAGAAAAGAAACGAAAGAACAAAGAGAAACGAAAGAAAGAAAAAATAAAAATAAAAGAGGTGTGATTACATGCCAAATGCAGAGATAAGAGTTACAAAAAAAAAAAAAAAATATCACGCATTCTTTTTTATAAACTTTTTTTTAGATACCGTCATGGAATTTATGAAAAGTTATAAAGAAAAAAGAAAGAAAAATACTTTTATGTTTAAAAATCATCCGGGATCTCAGAAAATTTACAATATCATGCACTTTAATGATTCCAGAAGATAATATCTTAGATCGAATTCATTCTTAAACTTTTTTTTTTTACATTTATTTAAATTTAACAACAATACAAACTTTTTTAGCCTAGCAACGCCACGCTGGTACTGACGTGTTTCTAGGAAGAAATCTTTCTTTGTTGATAAGAAAAAATTTGAAAAGCAAAGAATATGAAACAAAAGTCTTGTTAAATCATCATTCCTTACATGCACATTGATATTTATTTACAGTGTATGTTTACTTTTCAAGTTCCAATAAATTATAGTGTCTACTCTATTGATTCTTTCCTTTCACTCCGTCTTTATATCGAGGGGTTAAGATGAGGCATTATAAAAATCTGTAAAGGAGAATTACCTTTAAAGAAAATCTTAGAAATACAACCAGTTTCGCAGTTTGGAAGATGTCGTTTCATTCTCTAAAATAAATAAGGATAGAGGCTTTTTAGTGCTTTGTGGGATCCGTTGGAAAATTATTTTCCTGATATTTTATTAGGAAACTACCCGAATGTAATAGACAGGAATATATTACATGCATATGCGCATGGGTGTATGGGTTGAAGAAGATCAACAAATAAAAATTCACTTTTGATAGTTTGCCAACTTTGTCAAAGGCAGAATTGTTACCGGTTTAACAAATTAAAACGTGAAAAGAATCTTTTGTTTAAAGAAAGAAAAATCGAATAAAAAAAGAATTAGAAAGACGAGAAAACTAAGCGGAAGAAGGATTTTAAAACAGAAAAAACAAGAGAAGAATAGAGGAGATTATAAAAAACGTAATACAGTGGAACCTCGGTTCACGAATTTAATTCCTGAAGGCCGTTCGTAACACGAAATGTTCGTAAATCGAAACTATTTTTCCAATAGGAATCAATGTAGAGAAAAAAGTCACAGTATAATAAAATTGGAAAAGAAAAGCACAGCACACGAATGTATACAACACGGCGGTCGACTGAGAAATGATTTCATTCGGGTTAACTCAGTTCGGCAATGTAGTTCGAGAACCGAAATTTTGTTCAATACCAGAGGCATTTTCCTCTCGAATTGTCTGTTCTAAAACCGATTTGTTCGATATGTGAGACGTTCGAGAAACGAGGTTGTTCTGTAAGCAAAAAAAAAGGATAGAGGCGGAGGGAAAAAAGGAAAAAGAGAAACATCGATAAAAAAAAGAGAAGAGAAAGAAAAGCAATCGAGGAGACAAAATCTCACGGATATGCATGAGGGACAACTTCGTCAAAGGAGTAAGGCTTAAGAAATTGATCTTGCAAATATTACTGCTAAATAGCATTTTTACCCATAACTGTAGCCCTGTGCCGTACCAAAATTAGCCGAGTAAATATTGAAAACACAGTGTTGATATGTACTAAATAATAGAAAGAGTTAGGATTAATCCTAGGCAAGAAAGGACAAGATCTGCCACTTATAGGCTTCGGGAAATCAAAATTACTTCATAGGAAAATCAACATGGTGGTTGTAGCTCCTCGATTCAGTTAGGGAAACACAGGCAGGTCTCTGTTTACTTAAGGAATCTTTCACGGTGTTCTTTTATATAAACAATGGCGGGAAGTGATGAGACATTTTTATTAAAGACTCATTCTAGAAGCATAAAAACTGAGAAAATCCATGAAGATGACGACCTGCCCATCATTAAAATCCATTCCATTTATTTTACTGTTTTTCAGCAACCATTTTATTTAGATTTTATGTCCTCCAATAGCTTCTTAAAGGGACCTGTGGATGTCATAGGGTCCCATTAAGAAGAGTAAAAGGTGATGGTGAGGGGAGAAAAAAAGTTTCAACAATGAGAGTATACGAGAAAGGAAGGAGAAAAATAGTAAGAATGGAAACAGAGAAGAGAAAGGAAAAAAGAAAAGAGATAAAAGATAAGGACAGAAAGAAAAGTAGGACCCCGAAAAAGGAATATAATGAAGGTTTGAAATAAAGTGGATAAACGAAAGAGAGATAAAGGAAGTAGAAATAAAGATAAAATACAGTTGCAGTGAGATTTAAGAGAGACTACTTGTAAATAAAGTTGGAAAACTACGAAGAACCCAACCGTTGTTTTGATATGGTAATGATTTAACGTATACGTGTGCGCATCGTTTGTGTTGTACTGCTGCGGTTCTACACTTATGTTCTTGGACATCATAAAATCCCTGGGCTCACAAAGAAATCAATACAATCTTGGTCAGGAATCGATTCCATTCATTCCTACATTGTCTAAGGGAGCGCATAGTCTATCCTCGTAGTGTTAAAATCCATCCGATAAATCAAGCAACATTTTCACCGATCAACAACGAAATTCATTTTTTTTAATTATCAATCCTTCCAGTCATATACATAAAAAAAAAAAAAATCGACTTCAATAGTTGCGTTCGAATTTTTTCAAAATCATCACACAAATCCGGTCAAATCAACACATTTTGCAGTGTATAAATTCAAGTAAATAGTACTCATAAAGTTTGTATTCCTTTTAAGGCATAATAATAGATTCATAGAATAATAGATTGTGGCTCGGATTAAGAAATCGGAGAGCCGAGTTCGATTTCCGGTTGAGTTCATTACATTCACTTACTTAGGAATGTTTGGTTTGTTTTACGGCATATAAACCTCAATGGGTTATTTAATGCCGACAATTTTTTTTTCCTGGTAATATTTTGTTTTGTCAAAAATCTATTTCTGGTAATATTTTTTTCCTCAAAAATGTAGAGATCGTAATATTATTTTAAACATTATATTGCTGGTAATATTTTTATTTCCAAAAATGTATTGCTGGAAATATTATTTTTTCAAAAACGTATTGCTGGTAATATTTTTATTTCCAAAAATGTATTGCTGGTAATATTTTTTTTCCAAAAATGTATTGCTGGTAATATTTTTTTTCCAAAAATGTATTGCTGGTAATATTATTTTTTCCAAAAATGTATTGCTGGTAATATTTTTTTTTTCTTCAAAAATTTATTTCTGGTAATAATTTTTTACAGAGTATTTCTGGTATTAAAACCTGTTTTTACACTTTCATAATGCTTTTTACCTCAGTTTCGGGGTTAACTATTTGTCCATAGTCGGGACTCTAACAGGTGCTACCACCCCAAGTCCGGGTGGACCTGGAAACACCAGCAATTAACAAGTGGTTCCACGCTCCTTAGAACCTCCTGAACTTACTGTTGCATGTAGTCTATAGTCTTACCCAGGACGCGGATGTAATTTATCGTCTTACCCAGAACGGTACTTGGGAAAGGTATAAATCCAACTCTTCTACTCCAGCTATGGATAAATAGCAGGACAGAGTGGGTTCTGTAGCCTTAGGTGGTAACCGTCCTAGGAGAAGGAATTCAAGGCTGTATGTAGCCTGGCAATGCATATAGTATGCAGGTAAAGAAAGGATCGTTCATGTTAACACGATGATCCTGACTACGGTCGACTCCTTTTCTTTTAATGCGCATTATTGTTTAGTGTTTTTTTACTTCTTACCTTCTTATTACACACATATATATATATATATATATATATATATATATATATATATACGCGCACGCACACACACACGCAATCCTTTTCCTTCCCAATTCTTCTCTAATTCTGACACTATTTGGTTTGTAGTGATGGAAAGCTCGATTGTTCTGGTTTATTTATTAACGTCTGCACGCATTTTTTCTTGACGTGGAATCAAATAAACGACATGCTATTTCTTAAAGCCATTTCCCGCCCTTTTCAAAATCAGTTCCAATTGTTTTGCGAACAATGAATTCTGTGCTTAAAGGAGCGAATATTCTGGAGGTGAAAATATTTGAAGGACTGCTGCCAGGATTGATTACTGAACCCTCGCACATAAAACTTAACAAAAAAAATACATAAGTCAAATATAAAGATGGCATCAACGTTTAATCATTTAGCTTATTATCCAAGTCTTTTATTAGTAAAAAATAATACTATTTTTTTACATAACGCTGAATAGTTTTTTTTTCTGTTAATCGTTACATTTCTTTCTTGCACTTATTTGGTGTTTCATAGTTCCAAATTAAGTAAATAAACATTTACTAGGTAGACTCATAAAAAAGCAACTACTATCAGAAAAAACATTTTTTTTCATATTTCTCTAGATTAATTACCCCAGATAACGAAGAAGAATATTCAATTATTTAAAAGTTAATAGGGGTTCGAGTTCTTTGTAAATTGATCTCTCACGTGAAAGCCAAAATGAAATATATAATGTCAAGTCATTTCTTAAATGCAAAAAATAAATTGAAATTCGTCATTTGGTGTACTTAATCTATAGTAATATATTTAAATAATAATAAAAAAGAACCCGAAATTACGAATTTCAAATTTAAAAACATTTTAGTTTTACGACTTAAGAAATGGCTTTGACTTCCGTTTGAGAATCAATTTACATAAACTGCATATCATCCATTAACTTTTATAGAATTTAATGATTTTTTTTATATTTGTAATCTGGGATACTACTCGCTTTGAGTAAAAGCAAAAAAAAAAAAAAAATGAATAAATTATTATTCCTGTTCACAGTGCTTATTGTACAAATCCATTATTTATTGTTTAAAATTTGTATAAACTGTTTGTAAATTTTTCGGTGTTTTTCTTTCATAGGTTACAAAAATTTCCAGCAAATCCTTTGACTAATTATTGTTTTTTTGGTTTAAATTAATTTTTATTCACTTTTTAGTTTCCTAGGGGCATTACTTTTTGGTATAGAGGCAGTAAAATTGATAGACGAGAGTGTCTGTTAAGAACGTTAGATATTTTTTAAATAAAGACAAACATGGCTACTTGAAACCAAATCAGGACACATAGTAATCGCTTCAATAACTATTCACCCTTAACTGGTTTGAAAAATCCTTTCTAATTACAGCTGTTTTCCATAAAACAGAAAAGTCGACCGAAACTTAATTTCATTAATTACGCAGGAGAAGGTACTTCTAAATAAATCTTTCAAGTATGAACATGACTTGGGTTTTAAAAACATCCATTCTTTATAAAGTTTACTTACTTGGAAAGACACGAGTTTCGTACATCTGCCATATAAAACGACCAAGCAAAGGCAAAAGACACAGAAAAGCATTGGGATTCGTCTAATAAAAAGCCAATGTGACGTTCGCATGATCTTTCTTGCATGCATGAGGACACACTGTACATCGTCGGAATTCATACACGCAGGTGTGCGTCTCGTTTAGAACATTACATTTCGTATAGGCACAATTTGCTGTGCAGATGTTTGGAACTCTTGGAGCTTGTAGGGTATATTTTAATGTATTTATATTTTATAAACGGTTTTACATCTCCCTCTCTCTCACACACACACACACACATATATATATATATATATATATATATATATATATATTTGTATCACGTCAAAGCAATTTGGTAATGCAGTTCTGACAAATATTTCATACGAGAAAATACGGAAAGCCAAAAGTGAATAATAGAACCTGTTGACTACAGAGAACACATTTTACAAGTTGCATGTATTAGCGTAGCTCTGATATAGGTTTCGTTCAGCTTGTTGATCATTTAGTTCCTCTTTTGTTGAGCTTAATTCCCCTCCCCTTATCAATTAGGTAACAGTTCTCTGGTAAATGCGGGATGAACCTTCGTTTCATGAGAAGGTTTTTCGCATTTGTGTTTTTGTGTTTAATTGTGTGGGTGCCTGATTTGATCTCTATTAATCCCGCAATTTTATCGTTCAATGAACTGACATCCCTGCCACAATTAGACTGTGGGAGGTTAAACTACAGCCACAGTAAATCCTGGCCTGTCTTTCAAACAAGTTCCGTAATTTATCAGTGTCAGTGTGACACCGACGACATAGGTAGGACAGTCAATAACGAAGGAAGAGAATTGTCCAACTTGTACCAGTGTGCATTAGTAACGGTCGACTTGAAAAGTTGCTTAAGTGTTCCGTTCCATCAGGATCTGCAATCTCAGATCTCTTAAACATCTCGTTATAAGTTCGCAATGGTCACTGTCCTATGAGGATATGTTCTCAGTGTTTAAACCACTCTCCGACAATCACTTGAAAGTTCTTGAGACAATACTATTAAATCGAGACTCTTATTTTTATATAAACAAAAGGGACGGTTGTTGGGTCTCAGTGTGATCTATTTATACTATACTTGTCCCCAATATATTAATGATACTCGTCTGCTTCATATTCTTATTACGCCCACTTCATTTTAACCGGTGTGCGCAGTATTCAGCTCTGATAAGAGAAAGGTACCATTTAGCTGGTTCGATAATGATTTTTCTTTTCAGGTTGTCATTTACTGT